CATAATAAAATATACAGATCACTTCACTTTATCGCTTAAAAAAGTCTTTTCGGAATATAATATGAACTTAACTTTCTCTAATAATAGCACAATTCTGAATCTATTATCTAATTTTCACTTTAATAAATACAACATACTTAAAGAATGTGGAGTTTATTCTATCAATTGTTATAATTGTAACAGCATATATGTGGGAAATATGTGGAAAATATAAAACTTATTCACAAACGTGATAAAGGTTTTCGCTTAGATCTTTTAGAAGCATTAGAAATTGCAAAACACAGTAAAAATAAAAACTACATCATGTTAAATGATCAATTGGATATGAAGTTTACACCGCTTTTTCAATGTCTAAGAAATATTTGATTTTATTTTCGAAATCGCCGCATTTTCATTTCGTTTACCTGTTTCTATCTTGGCATGTGTTTTTTCATACAAGTTTTAAAGGTCATCCATTTTAGTGTTATTTTATACATCGTTTGTGTAGGAACTTGTGTGGTTTTTTGTCTTTTTACAGTTTAATTATTTATACATTGTATTTTAAACTGTAATTTCACATTTTTAAAATGTTTTTCATATGTCTGCTCTTTGTGATGTTGATTTTATTTTATTGACCGTTAGTTCTATAAGAATTTTAACTTTTAATTATTAAATTGTAATTAAAATATAATTGTAGATTTGGCTGAAGATGATTAAGTAAAACTAGTCGAAACCGGTTCCGTTAAAATAAATTGAATTTTGCAAGATAAGAAGTTATATTTATTTGTTTATTATTTTAATATTTAAACGAAACTTGCAACATGGATATCAACAGTTATCTACTAACCCTACTAACTAGGTAGTGCTTATTGTCCGGACCCGCCTACTATAATCAAAATTTTGAACATTAGCGCTTACTATTTTGGAATTGAAAATTAACACTTATTTTCTGCAAATACACTATACATGATGCGATACATCATTCAAAGCTAAAAATATGCTCTTTTCAGTAACATCATAATAAAGTATAGTTTGTATTTAAAAAAATACAACTTTGTGTTATATCTCAAAAATCACCAAGTATGTTTAAAATTTTTCAATGGCAGTATATTCTACTTAAAAAAGTGTTTTAAGAACGTATCAACCCCATTTATCTAATTTCAAAAATAAACGAAATATGAGCATTTTTTGAAATCACGAAAATTTGACTTTTTGGCTATAACTTAAAAACAAAAGAAGATAGAGGTTTGGTGTTTGCGGGATTGGATTAGTGTCGAAAAAAGAGACCGGGACATGGCACCTACTTTTTTCGTATCTCTTATAGTTTCTGAGATAGCTTATAATAACACCCAAATTTGCCCACCATGTACATTTGACGCCACCGTATTTTTCTTATGTAGTTTGGTCTCCTAAACCCAAAAATCACATTTAAAATTTTTTCTATGGATACGTTTTGGAGCTATGATTTTTGTTTAGGGGTAATTTGATTATTTGCAGCATACCTCGATGTTAGAGATGACCGGTCTGGTCGTGCTATTTATCAAATTAAAAAGTATTGTAATGATAAATGATATTAATACATATTCCAATCGGTTCGGTAGTTTTAAAATAACGGCCCATAATATGTGAAAAAGGGAAATTTTTTAGACAAAATGTGAACCAAAAATTCATTCAATATCCGTGGAGAGTCGCAGAAAATTCTTTTTTACCGTCTACGTAAAGTTTGCTCTTTTTAGAAGACAACAAGGTATGCAGGATGAGAATCGGTGGAGAAATTAGAAAAAATTATGATTTAAAATAATTTCAAGATGGCTGCCACATTCAGTGTACCGGAAGTAGCCTACAACTTCGTTATTTTAAACGGAATGCTGCAATTTTTATTGGATATTTGAATTGAAAAATTCACTCAAACGCCTTGGAGAGCCGCAAAAATTCCGTGTTATTTTTTACATAGGGTTTGTACTTTTACAATAGGAAGATGCCCAGGTTTTTCGTGTTTCTATATTTTTCGGTATTCCTAACGTATATGGATGTGGATTCTTGTTATCAATATATGTATATGAAAATAATTAAACGTATATTTGAGCCGTTTATTTTGAAAGTATTGACTCGCAATAATACTAAATCGTATTTAAGGGAGTTAATTTTATAATTCCTATTAAAAAATTGCTATTATTAAGTGTATAACATTATGTCCTTGCTTACCTTGAAAGGACTTAGGTCACTTTCAAAATAAAAATTTGTTTTGTTATTAAATGTGAAACAGCTTAAGTCTGTTACATATAAATTAAAAAAACCATTTTATATACTTTACATTTTTAGAAGAAAAAAATTAAATTTAATAACAAGTTATTCGCAGTATGCGGAAGGGATTTAAAGTAGTTATGGTGTTCCGGAGGTATACATCGCAGTAAGTCCATCATGTGTCGGTATTTTAGTGATGTGATGCTTCTTATACTTTTGTATAATGATGGCAATACAATATTTCCAAGTTTTTAGGTCTACCCTGACGTGGCAATAAATCAAGAATTTTAAACTCTGAATGCTCATCCATGGTTGTTTTACATAAAATTTTATATGGTTCATTCCTTAAAAATCGCATCCAGCATATTTGCAGAAAGTTTATTTTTTCCCCGTTGGTATTTTTAGATCTTCTGTAAACTGCTTCTTCTAAGAGTCTTGTTGATATAAAATCCTCTTGTTTCATTAAATTTAGTATGAAAGTATTACCTTTTCTACATTTTATTATTATATTATAATAATCTTGTGGCATATACAGTAAATGATTTCTTTTTAACGACATTTCGATAACGCCAAAATCTATCATTAGGTAAAAAATTTTTGAATGACCTGATATTAAAAATTTGTGGTCTATGATTTTCACATAACTTTCCATCGATTGAACAATTTTTAACCACGTTAAAGATATTTTAATGTTTCTATTTTGTCCTCCACACATGTCACTATATGCAATGATATGTTTTTCACTTTTTAGAGTTTTAAGGTGTCTGAAGAGGCATGAAGCCACTTCTTGGGAACCTCTAGAAGCTTTTGTTTCATCCCAAGCGTACATGTATACATTATCGTTGTGGAAATTGTGTATGCCTAAATTTAAAATATACATGTTGCATTTATAATAAGCTACTGAAGTAGTTAGCTTTGGGAATGGTAACGCTTTCTGCAAATCGAAAGAAAAGCCAAAATAATGAGATGGATTACTTGATTCTAGTTCTTGATCTTGTTTTAACGCATTTCTAGCTGATTTCGCTAGTTTTAAATGAATATCATGTTCTTCCATAAGTTTTTTCTCTTCTTCATGGTTTTCTGATCACATTTTTGGCATGTGTCTTTGCGTGGTTGGTGGAAGTGTAGATTAAAATCTCTTTTGAATATTTTTCTATAAGTCCATTCATTAACTGCTTTTAAATTATTTTCTTTACAGTGAAACACTTTACAGTTATAAGTATCACTTCTGTTTTCTCTGAAGCTGTTGTTTTGTAAATTTTCATTCTCAATTAGTTCCTCTTCCTCTGTTGAAGAATGAAGTTCTAAAATTCTCTTTCTTTTTCTATATTTGTTGTATGATTTTAATTCTTCTTCACTTTCAGAATCTTGTGATTTTATCCTTTCTCATGAGTTTAATAATTTCTTTAATTGAATATTATTCTTTAAAATTTAATTCAATATTATAATATAATTTAAATTACCTTCATCACTGCTTTCAAGATTTTGGGCCGCNCACGAAAATTTGACTTTTTGGTTATAACCTAAAAACAAAAGAGGATAGAGGTTTGGTGTTCGCGGGATTGGATTAGTGTCGAAAAAAGAGACCGGGACATGGCACCTACTTTTTTCGTATCTCTTATAGTTTCTGAGATAGCCTATAATAACACCCAAATTTGCCCACCCTGTACATTTGACGCCACCGTATTTTTCTTATGTAGTTTGGTCTCCTAATCCCAAAAATCACATTTAAAATTTTTTCTATGGATACGTTTTGGAGCTATGATTTTTGTTTAGGGGTAATTTGACTATTTGCAGCATACCTCGAGTTAGAGATGACCTGATAGATAAAATGATATTAATACATATTCCAATCGGTTCGGTAGTTTTAAAATAAGGGCCCATAATATGTGAAAAAGGGATTTTTTTTAAACAAAATGTGAACCAAAAATTCATTTAAATCCGTGGAGAGTCGCAGAAAAATTCTTTTTTACCTTCTACGTAAAGTTTGCTCTTTTTAGAAGACAACAAGGTATGCAGGATGAGAATCGGTGGGGAAATTAGAAAAAATTATGATTTAAAATAATTTCAAGATGGCTGCCACATCCAGTGTACCGGAAGTAGCCTACAACTTCGTTATTTTAAACGAAATGCTGTAATTTTTATTGGATATTAAAATTGAAAAACAGTTTTTTTAATCAAAAATCACAATACAAAATTCACTCAAACGCCTTGGAGAGCCGCAAAAATTCCGTCCTATTTTTTACATAGGGTTTGTACTTTTACAATAGGAAGATGCCCAGGTTTTTCCTGTTTCTATATTTTTCGGTATTCCTAACACATATTGCCGTTGTTTTACTCAGTGAATTAATCATGATGTGGGTGGATCCTTGTTATCAATATATGTATATGAAAATAATTAAACGTATATTTATGCTTTTATTGATATATTAAGTTTTACACTCTGCCTGACACGTTTCGGCGGTGTACGCCATCTTCGGAGGCTTTCGTCTTTTTTGGTTATGCTATGTAGTACATAAAATATCGGTTCGTATTCAGACTGAATACGAATACCTAACACGTGCTAGCACGCCATTTTCTGCAATTTGTTCGCTCCCGAGAAAATAAGTAGTAATCCAGCCCATTAAATGTTAACGTTTGAAAATAATCCCTGCAAGAAGCATCTTATAAAAATAAGAATAAAAAAAGAATAAGAATAATACAGTGGCGTCAAATGTACATTATATGAATTTCTTTTTGTAAACTAGTGTAACCACTTATATTAATTATTCCTTTAGAGTTACTGATGGCTACAAAATCTTCTCATACACATTAGAAAATGAACCAAACGTAAGCGTCGAATCATTTTTATATTTACCAATGTTAAAACGAGTTGCGTGCACTTTATCGAATGGAAGATTATTTTTACTCAATTCCGACACCTTACCAAGAACTCCAACCGCAGCTGAAGGCACCTTTGTTATGACGGAATTAGGTTCAAGCAGTGTTATAACTTGTATGTGTTATCTTTACGAAGAACAGGAAAGACTTTGCGAATTATGGTGTGGCCAATCGGAAGGGCAAATATCGATTTACTCAATAAAAGATCACGGCGTGGTTAGTCAAGAAATTGTGAATCATTACCAACCGATAATCGAAACAGTCCAAGTTAAGAAATTAGTTTCCGATAGTTTAAACGTTTGGTCCTACGTCCATCCAGGTTGTATCGTTTATCAATGGGATCAAAAAACGCGTTCGATTATCAACAAATTGGATTGTTCAAAATTAGTACCATGCTCTGAAAGTTTAAAATCAATCGCAATCGAGGAACATTTAAGCCCAACAAATTGTCAAGTAACCAGCGTTGCGGTTTTAAATGATGAATTATACATTGGAACAACTTGGGGTTGTGTTATCGTTGCCGAAAAAGCGACATTAAGACCGATTACGATTTTTAGACCGTACGAAGAAGAGGTTAGATCGATTGTACCATTGGCGCGGTTAAAAACGAGTAACGACAGACACGAATACACCCCGTTAATTGCGACTATAGGGAGAGGTTATAGAAGTTTATTAAACCGGTATACAGATGTAACTGTAAACGTTGCTTCCGTTCAAAGCCCGGTTTCGAGTCAAATTAGTTTTGCAACAGCAAAACAAAATATGTACGTTTTGTTATGGCGAGCTGAGCATTGGGGAGGTACTTAAAAATATTATTCAAAGTTAGAAAACGAGGATGATATGAAGATAAAATAATCATAAATCTATTTAGCACTTCTTTTTTTAATTTTAATTATGAGGCATTACAAAAGAATTAATTCAGAATTAAGCAATTTTTAATTTAATTAATTTTTACTCAGACTGGTTGTGTATTTTTTTACTTATACGTATTTTAATTATTCCTCACGAAACTAGAACCTAAGTTTTAACTGTGATTCGATTTTAACCTAATAAGACTTAACGGTTATTCCAAAAAGATTAAAAATCTCGTACGTTGTGTGTTGATTGTGTAACGAATGAGAATTAAATAAAAATAATGTTAAAATATTATATGTATTTATATCTATAAGTGAATTTCACTTAAGATGCAATATTACTGTTCCTACTTTGTCCCACATAAAACTTTTCAAAACATCGATATCTCTGCTTACAACAAAGAAAGATGTTTTGAGGTCTGCTCTGTGGCGCTACCAAAACTTAGCACTATAATAATTTGTATCTATCATCCACCAACTGGTGACAAAAATGATATAATTAAAAGGCTTGAAGACACACTAACACACATAAAACAAACACATCGATGTAAGAATGTATTTGTAATTGGAGATTATAACATCTGCATTCATGAAAAAAGTACTATAAGAGACGACTTCCTGGCGGAAATGTCCGAGTTTGGATTACACCCTATCTTTAACAGTTCTTCCAGAATTAATGGGAAACGCTGCGTAGACAATGTATTCACAGACAGATACACCCATCATATTGTAACATATACCATGAACTTGCATCTTAGAAATCACTTACTTTCAAACTATCTTCTAAAACAGAAAAGCAAATACAAATAAAATGTAGAAGAATGAACACTAAAAACATGCTGACATTTAAAACCTTATTACAAGACATCAACTGGGCACCCATATACTTAAAAACAAATACCGCGGAAATTTGTTGTACAATATTCCATAAATATATTATCAAATGCTTTCAAAGTGCGTTCCCTGAGAAGAAAGTTCAAAAATCTGGTAGGGGTACAAATCTAAAATTGAAAGCAAAAAACTTATGGAAAGTATGTAAACAAGTCTGATAACAAAATTTTGGCGGCCTGGAAACTTGTCAAACAAGAAACTGGAAAATCCGGGAAAATACCAGCAGAAGATTCAACATTAAATGTCGAAGACTTAAACCTTTTCTTCTCTTAAATCGAGGTTGTATCGAAACACTCTTCGATCAGCTATGTATGTATATAAGAAAACGAGAGTGCATGCGTTCCCGCACACCGCACTTAGGCCCCATTGGACCCCTTGTACATACTCCCAACAGAACCTCTTTTCACATCAACTAGCCTAGGGAATTATAGTCGTCCACACGGCGATCGGTTTTTATGACTCTGCCACTTTCCTACTGTAGTTGTAAAATGAACAAAGACGGGGTTGCACCAGGTAGTTTCCCATTGTAGAATGCTGGGATTCCTCACTCAGGGCCGCATTAAAAAACACACTTTACTTGCAAATTGTAGAAAAATAATAGGGTGATATATAAATACTCATTATTCTCTTATTTGTTGTATTTCTAATATTAAGTACATATTTTTTCTAAGAAATGTTTTGAGAATGCATGCATTGTCTAATTACAAAAAGAGCGGAAGATAATTAGATTCTTTAAAATTTTGTTATTCTATTATTTAGACATTCCTAAAATTAATATTTTTTTCTAAGACTTTTATATTAATTTTTATAATTAAATTTTAGTTTAAAAAAATTTAAATTCGACCCTGTCTTTGTCTGACTGTTATAAATCTTTTCAAGTACTCAAGCGGGCAAAAATCACCCCGGCTTTTATTTATGACTGTCATAAAAACCGATCTGGATGTGGAAGAGTATACCGAAGGCCAGGATATTACTCAGAGGTAAGTTCCTGATATCACCTGTGGTCGGCATGAGAGGGGCAATCACACAAGATGTGTCTAGCGATCTCGTCGTCCTGTTCACAGACTCGACAGAGAGGAGAGTTTGCAAGCTTCATATTGTGAAGGTACTTGTTTACCTTACAGTGTCCCGTGAGGAGACCTGTTGCTAATCGGAGAGCGTTTTTTCCGAGCCCTACGAAAAACTGAGCTGTAGTTTTTGAAGGATATTTTAACAGATCCTTATATAGCAGCCCGGAGTTTTGTCCCATGCGTTTAGGAATTTGTTGTGAGTAATATTAAGCATATTACTCATGTTGATATGAGTAGCTAAGGAGTGGTAATTATCGGCTCGGGTGCACAGAGAACTCTGCTGGCAGCACGCTTTGCCAGTCTATCCGCATGTTTGTTACCCGTAGGGCCGGAGTGCCCCTTGATCCATTGGATAGTGACACGATTGTATTTCGTGGCTTCTTCCAGTGCTAGATGGCAGTCCATTATTAGTGCAGACATTATCTTAACGCTAAAACAGATTGCCTACTATCTGTATAAATAGTATAACACTTACCGCGTTCGTTGGAGTCAACAATATAGTCAGCAGCAAGTTTTATAGCGAGTTCCGCTTGTATGACGGAGGTACCTTTACTTAGAGGTTCTGAGAGGCGTATTCGAGGATGATGGGAAAAGACCCCCACTCCCGCCCCGTTCCGTCTTTTTGAGCCATCAGTGTACATTTTTAAGGTCTTATTCGCATCTATTACTGTGGGACTGATGTAGGTGAGGTAATTTCTTTAGAAACCGCATTTTGCTGACAAGCAGCCCGTCTTGCACTCGAGTGAGCTTGATCAGCTATGTTGATGCAATCAGTTTGATCAACTCAACAAGCTTGGCGATGGAGTCACTAAGTGAAGTAAGAGAGCTACAGATCAGAAATACAATAAAGAGTCTAAAAGCAAAAAATACCAAAGGTATATACGAACTGTCCACAAAGCTAATAAAAGAAGTTGAACCAATAATTAGCAAACACCTATGTTTTGGCATAAACAAATGTCTATAGGAGAGAATCTTTCCGATAGAGCTCAAGCTGGCGAAGATAACACCTATATATAAGAAAGGAGACAAAGGTATATGCAACAACTATAGACCAATATCTATTTTACCAATCTTATCAAAAATATTTGAAAGTGTACTAAATAAAAAAATAGTGGACTACCAAAAACAAAGGTCTGCGATAACTGCCCTACTCAGCATAATAGAAGCTATAATCCACGATTTTGATCAACAAAACTTCACTCAAATTACATTTTACGACCTAACCAAAGCCTTTGATTCGGTGAACCATTCAATATTATTACGCAAACAACAAAAATATAGAATAAAAGGAAATACATTGAAATTTCTAGCATCATATTTGCAAGGATGAAAACAATCAGTTTTTTTGGTGAAGTCAACAATCAACTTGGAGAGAAGTGGCAACAGGAGTACCCCAGGGTTCGGTCTTGGGACCGTTACTATTCCTCATATATATTAACGATTTGCCAAAAAATATTCCAACAGAGTTAATTGGTCTTTACGCGGATGACACATCTTGCGTTACAAGAAGTGGTGACATCAAGAAGCTTGAAGAAAAAACAAAACATTGAAAAGGCAGAGCACTGGTTTTCCATAAACAAATTGAAACTAAATAAAAAAAAAACAAATATACTCACCTTTTACACAAAACAAAATGATGAGGTAACCGATAAATACATAAAGTTCCTTGGAATTATCATCTCCGAAACGCTTAAATGAACCCAACACATATCCGACTTATATCAAATGCCTTATATTGTGTTAAGACTATACGTTGCAACCTACCACCAGAGACACTGCGTAGCGTATACTTTACATATTTCCACAGTATAGCAGAGAAATAGAAGCCATTTTCATAATACCAAAAAAGGCAATTCGTATATTAGCTGGGCTAAGAAATCATGAGAGCTACAGAACTCACTTCAAAAAATTAAAAATACTCACCTTGCCATGCTGTTTTATACTTAACTGTCTTGAGTATATTCACAACACGATCATCACGATTACAACACTCGCTATAAAAGGAAGATATTGTAATTCCATTTCACCGAGTGGCAAAATCACAAAAAACTTCCACTACATTTCCAGGTTACAGAAGTAACCTAGAACTAGAATCATTTGGGTTTAGCCGTCTTGAGAGACGCGCGGCTAAACGCGAATGTTTCTAGTTCTAGGGCTAATGTTAGTTCTAATGACAGTGGCATAAGATATCACTATGTTGCATATTTTTGTTGCATTAAAACTAGAACTAACACTAGACCTAGAACTAGAATCATTCGGGTTTAGCCGTCTTAAGACACGTACGGTTAAACCCAAATGTTTCTTGATCTAGGTCTAATGTTAATTCTAGTGACAGTGCAAGTGTAAAACTAGAGATAACACTATATCTAAAACTAGAATCATTCAGGTTTAGCCGTCTTTAGAGACGTGTGGCTAAACCCAAATGATTCTAGTTCTAGTTTTGATTGTTATTAAGCGCTAGATTGTTGTATATTTTTATTGCAACTTACCTTGGTAACTCGCTATAATATGGCGTCAGATTTGGCGGGATACTGCCACTGTCACTTCTAAATAATAATATAACTAAATATGGAAAAAAACTCACCCTGTATATTGCAAGTAAAAATTTTCGTTTTAGCGCCACCTATCCATAACACCTTTACCTACATTTTTAATATGTGTTACAAAATTTGCAATGTTAATTTATATTATTTAACAATTATAATAAATTTAAATAAAATACGTTATTAAAATTAACTATTTAATACAAAAGTAACAATAAATCTATTTAATAACTTCATTTAACACAATTTAGTTATCTCTTGGTTTTATAAATAGATGGAGCTACGGGAAATCTGTCAAATTCAAGTTTTTAAGCATTTTTTCTCTTTTGTTTATAGTTAGTGTTAACTAAGTTTTATTTATTCAACGAGATTCCACAAAATCGATATAAATAAAGCAAATGATTATTCATCGACGGTAAATATTACATTAAAACTTATTTTTAATAACATTTACGAATCACAATAGAAACAAAATTTGTTAACTTTTTCTTATATTATTAATTATTAAATACGCAAAGACGATATCGTTTCTTTTGTATCAACTATATTTTGTTGGTTATCTTGATTTTTAAAGGATTCTATCAGTCCTAAAGCCTTCCGACATGAACCATATGATATCCCTAAAACAATTTTTTCATTTACCTGAAATAAAATTAAATCAAATTAATTAACCTGTTATTTTAGCTATTTGTCTTATAGATCTCCTTGGGTCCTCTTCTAGCATAACCTCAAATTCCTTCAATAATTCTTCCGTTACTTTCGAGGCCTTCCTTTTCGGCACTGTTTTACAAACTCCTCCGGTTTTATTAAATCTAGACACTAATCTTCTTACATATTGAGCGAAAACATCGTAAACTATCTGTTCTTCATCCGGATATTTTAAATAAAACTCCGACTGGCATTTTCTTATATCGTACATCCAAGTTTTTGCCACCTTTTCGCCCGTTCTAAAATAAGCTTCCAAAAGAAATTTGTCTTGATCTATTGTAAAAGGCATTTATATTGTTTTATTGAAATTGTTTTGATTTAAAATATGCTTAAGAATTTAGGTTAGAATAAAATTGATTTTTAGGGGTTAGTGGATAACTTCATAAATGTATTGAATAAATTTTTCGTGGTGAAGTTAGCTTTTAATTAAAATTTTGAATAATCTTTTTCTTTCTTTTTAGGACTGATGAAGTTTCAACTTGCTACAACTTAATACCTGGACCTTATAGGATCAGATAGAAAAGAGGGCCGAAGATAAAGAAAGATAAAGATAACAAGGTATTCATCAAAGGTATCAAAGGTATTCATCAACAAATTCCTTTTCCTTCTCTCTGTTACTGCTTTTCGGAATCTGTAAAGGGTAGCGGTGAGAAGAATTGTTTGTGGGGAAGGGGGTTTAAATGGGGGGCTAAAATCAACCGTGACGCGCCGTAACAATAACAATTTATCCGTCTCAAGAGACGTACGGCTAAACCCAAATGTTTCTAGTTCTAGGTCCTGTGGTAGTTCTAATTTTCATTCAGATTTAGCCGTCTTTAGAGACGTACGGCTAAACCCAAATGTTTCTATACTCTGTTTTTAAACCAGGAGGAGTATTTTAAATTTGTCACCAGATTGACCTTGCACGTGATTGGTTGAATGCGAGGAAGTTCACACACAGGCGATTTTGAATTTTGATTTTGAATTTGAAGGTTAGGTAATTGATAATTCGACAGTTTCGTGTCATTATTGTATATTTTGTGTTCTTAAACCCTTTTTTATTATATTTTGAAATAAATACACTCATAACTTCAATGTTAATTTGTATGTTTAGTGTTGACGATAACAAACGAAAATAAATACAATAATAAGTAAATAAATAAATAAGAATAATTATTAATTTTAATTTTCCGCCAAAATATCTAGTGATATTTTCTGGTGATTTTTCCTAGTGTAAATCTGACTTTCGCGTTTACTCCTCCTGGTTTAAAAACAGAGTATAGTTCTAGGTCTTGTATTAGTTCTAGTTTTAATCGTCATGCAGCGCTAAACCAAGAACTAGAAACATTCGGGTTTAGCCGCACGTCTCTAAAGACGGCTAAACCCAAATGTTTTTAGTTCTAGGTTTTATGTTAGCTCTAGTAGCACTGCAAGTATAAAACTAGAACTAACACTATACCTAGAACTAGAATCATTCGGGTTTAGCCGTCTTTAGAGTCGTGTGGCTAAACCCAAATGATTCTAGTTCTAGGTATAGTGTTA